AGTGATCTTTTTAGTTTCTTGTCCTCCTTGGAATGCACGTCTCGCAATTTAGGAGTACCGAATTAAGATCGTGTCGCATTTTTTTTTATACAATTTTTACACATTTCCTCACGGATCTTCCCTGAGAGAAAGTGGAGAATCGCGTATACGTTCGCAAATATTTGCCGTTCCGGATATACGATGGATACGGTAAACAACTTCGCACCGCCAAGTATGTCGAGTACAATTATCGCGTCGTCATTAGGTCAACCGTGCGAAACAACATGTCGAGAGAGAAATCCATTTATTTCACCGGACACTAAAATACGCGAATTCTATGGGAACATAGAATGCCCTGAGGATTTCGGAAAAAGATTTCAGTACTCATGAAGCAATAGCGAAATCCTCGGGGGGGGATTTTGCACAGGAGTGCTAATTGAACTGAAAACGGATTATGGGAATTGATATTATTATTATGAAAATAGAGGGGAAAGTGTCCGCGGGAGGCTACGATAAGATAATAAAAATAGAATAATACCCATCTCCTGGAGGATTGTTGTTAAATATAGTCTTACTCGGAGCTGACCAATTAACCTTCCGCCAACGCTCAAGCTGTCGCGTATTTGTTTACAAAGTTTTACATTGGATACTTGAACCGTGGTATAAAATTTCTCGGTAAATGCCACTGATTCGTAATTAATTTTTTTTTAAAAGAAGTATCTAATTTTAACTCTGAAAAATCGACTGAAAAATCTAATGCAAAAATTTAATGCAAAAAGAATTTGGTAAAAGGTTTGTAAAAGGTGTAAGCGAATGATATATTTAAGCCTTCCAATAATTTGCGAACATTTGCGTCTCTTATCACTTTGGACCACTTCGCATGCATAATGATTGCCTCCATCTTTTGCTGAATTAATTTACGTCTGCTGTGCAATCAGGATCGTAAACGAGAAAGTTGCTCGGATGTATTTCAGCCGATAAAACGAGCTGTTTCGAATTTATTAGCAAGTGACGCACGTTAAATTGGGAATACAATAGCATTTCCCGAAATATGAATTTATTAAACACAAGACGTCACGCATCCAAAGTCTATTTTTCTCTTCCCTTTCCTTTTTCCCCTACTACTGACTATTCTATTTGAATCTCGATGAAAATTCCATTCTACGTTTTATCAGCCACAATCGACCGAGAGAGAGAGAGAGAGAGAGAGAGAGAGAGAGAGAAAGGCTATCGCGGCCCGTGGAGGATACACGAAGGGATGGAAAAATCGCGGTGCGGATCTCGCGCCGTCGGCCCGGTCGATGCGGGACTTGAAAAAAAGGGGAGGGGATCCAGTCAAAACAAGGCTTACCAGGTCGTCGAGCAGTTATTATGACGAAGGCCTTCACCTGCTCACGCGGACGACGGCACCACTACTGATAACACAGTCAAGCGGCCGACGCCTCCGGAGCGCCGAACGTCCAGCGCCGACGCCGTCGCCTCCAACGTCGACGTCGACGTCGGCAACGACGCCGACGCCGACGCTGACATCGCCCATCCGGGGTAGGGGTAGTTATGATACGTCGATGTTATCTATATAACGATGCGGATTTGCATTATAATATCCAATACTTTCTATACATATATACTCAACGAAATATATATACACACGTAAT